GGCGTTTAAATGCTTCTCTGAGTTGGTTTTCGTACTCACCTGCCTGGTTACGCTGTAGGCCACATCTAATGTAGGGACAGAGCTTCCACAGGTCAAGTCAAATTTGATCGTATATTTCATTACTTACCATTTAAATCATAAGCTTATCACGCTTTCACTTGAACGATCTATTTGATGGCTGATAAATAATGACGCAATAATTACGTTACTGCCTAAACTACAAGTCAGTGCTTTGGTTCTCTGTCAATAAGTGGCCTCTCATCTTATTGAACAAAATCCTTACAACTATTTTAAGATTTAAATGTTTGCTTGAAATAAAACATGTACTTGTATAACAAGGGTGATATCCCCTCTAAACTATACATATATTTAACTAATTCCGAACTAATAAATATATATATATTTAATTCTGCTTTCCTTTCAGTTTCAGTTCCGATATCGCCGACCAAATTCGTCCCCTCATTCCATATGTCCTATATAGTTCACTACCGGTAAATGCCACGCCTGCCGCCTACCGTTCTTTGCATATGCTTTTAACTAGCGCGAATTATACACACAGCGATTTTTTACAAAAAATTTCACCAGATTGCGAAAGTCAACTGGTACGTTGTAAAATACGTGATCAAATATATAACTGCAACGTATTATTCCAGCGTGTACAAACACAGCATGGCTTCTGTTGTGCATTCAACTATGATGCCGTTATAAATCGAAATCAAACAACAGAAGAGTTAAGCATACACAGCAACCGCTTCGGCTATAGATGGGGTCTAACGGTTCTGCTCGATCCACAGGTAGAAGATTACTATGCGTCTAGAAATAAATTTGCCGGCTATCAAATATACACAAGCACTGGAAACGATTTTATCAGTATCAATATGCCAAATCAAATGGTATTTCCTGGCGACGAGATTCATATTCATGCTGCACAACACATCACTGAAGCAACGACTTTATTGAAAAATCAAGATCTGCACTGGCGTCGTTGCTATTTACCTAACGAACGCAAATTGCTTGCATTTCCTGAGTATACACAACAGAATTGTTTTGCTGAATGTCGTAGTAAAAAAGTATGGAGGATCTGCGGTTGTGTGCCACCATTATGGCCACGTGCGCAAAACTGGACCGTTTGCTCCCTTATGCAGGCGAGCTGTGTAATGGCTCAAATTGGTAAGATAAACGGTTTTTTTTTTTTTTTGCACCGAAAAAATTAAATTCGTAAATTTAGACTGGTTATTGTAGGGCCTACAAGTATATTATGCAATCAGGCGGTGTTTTGAAACTCTATCTCATGGAACAGCCATTTTAGTTGAGGTTAGATTTAATGAGACGTTCGTTGCCTTTGACATTCATTATGAATCAAGCAAGGTCCGTTAAAATACCCAAACATACAGTTTCATTTTACAGTTATAAAGTGTACCATATTTAAATCGCCAATTTTTATGTCTTGATCACTATAGCATACTAAGTTTGCTACGAAATTTGTAACACCCAGAAGAAAACGTTGGATACCTTATACAGTATATGCATACAAGTACGTACGATTATATAAATGATCAGCGTGGGGATCTGAGTGATCGGTCAAAATTATTGTCCAAAATAATTCGACAATCTCCGAATAAATTGTTCAGATGGGACTATTATAACACATAGCATGTAGTGATTATCAGTTCTCTCCTTGCCTTGTGTATCTGTCTCTATCACGTATTATTAACACAAGAATAACTGTACCCATTCGTGTTCATTATCTTCTGTGACACAATTACTAATGTAGTACGCTCTAGAGAGATGGTTCCTCTTATAAAGCAATAAAACAACGATGGATTATTCGATTGACATGAACTTTATATATCCGAAAGATAATCTTGTGATATGATCGCCATGGCTGGCTCGAATGTAGTCCAATCTGGACGTCCAATTTTCGATGACTTTCTCCAACATTTGTGGCCGTATATCGGCAATAACACGGCGAATGTTGTCTTCCAAATGGTTAAGGGTTTGTGGCTTATGCGCATAGACCAACGACTTTACATAACCCCACAGAAAATAGTTTAACGGTGTTAAATCACAAGATCTTAAAGGCCAATTCATAGGTCCAAAACATGAAATTAAGCGGCCACCAAACATGTCTTTCAATAAATCGATTGTGACACAAGCTGTGTGACATATTGCGCCGTCTTGTTGGAACCGCAGCTCCTGGACATCATGGTTGTTCAATTCAGGAATGAAAGAGTTAGTAATCATGGCTCTATACCGATCACCACTGAATGTAACGTTCTGACCATCATCGTTTTTGAAGAAGTACGATGACAATACAATGATTCCACCAGCCCATAAAGTGAACCAAACAGTCAGTTTTTCTGGATGTAACGGTGTTTCGACATACACTTGAGGATTAGCTTCACTCCAAATGCGGCAGTTTTGTTTGTTGACGTAGCCATTCAACCAGAACCAGTCCATACCTCGAAAAAAACACCCGTTATAAAGTAAGCTGCTTCCCTCAAAATATTTTCAAATTTTCTAACAATTCACCGGGGTTTCCGGGGCATTTAAGTCATATCCGACTGGTACACTTAATATGCTCCTGCATCAACTGCGCATAGACGTCTTTACACGGAAAGAAGCAGCAAGTTCAGCTTTAAGAATAAAGGAATTAGGTAGTTGGAATAGGAAGGATTACGGACCTAGCAAAATTCTGAACCAGCTAAACTTAAGAAATTAGCCTATATTCTCCCAAGGTTAGAATTCATTTGACACTTTCGGGAGAGGGTACCCTCTAGACGTGAATGGATAATAGGTTGAGTAGGTGAGGATTATACAACCTTTATCTATACCTATGGATGTCTAGTAGAGGCCCATTGACATTCATATCTTTCTTTTTATCATATATATATCAGATATAGAGAAGGCTTGTGGTGTTCTATTGAATTGCTAAATAACTACCTTGACAACCATACAATTAACCAGGCGGTACTGCTGGCCTTGCCGACCCCATACAGGTTAATTCCAGCGCAGTCAACAATTGCAGGAAGGCTTGAAGCTCACTGACAGATCAACTTCATAATTTGGTTTCTCGGCTCAAAAAAACAGACTGACAAACCTAGAAGCCTCTTTAGACGCATCCGAGGCGAGTATCAATAACGAACTGCATGATAACGAAGCAGATATGGCCCAAGTATGAACTAAGAACTTATTATATAGGTCCAAGAATAGTATTTACAGACTTACAGTAACAATAAGGTGGGACTGTTTTGAAGTACATACACTTAAAATGGATCTGCCCTATATCAATATTTGCCACAGCTGCAAGCTAGAAGGAAATAAGGAAACTGTTTCCCACTTTCTCTGTGAATGCCCAGCTCTCACACAAATCAGACAGAGAATACTTGGAACCCAACAGGCACCAAATGTGGAATGGCTGTCCACAAAAATCATAACGGGAAGAAGTTTCATTAGGAGCACCAAATGGTTTTAGCGCATCGATGGAACGAGATATTTTAAAGCTTTTCTTGCTTTTTTTATAATTCTCTTCATAATACGGGTACAAGTCCGTTCAATATCGACTAGTTTAATTTGAGTCTAAACTCGTTAGTCAATTTTCACTTGCTTTTCAAGATATGATTATGCCCAACCACTAACCCAAACTTTCTATACACACAAATATTTATTAGTCTACAATGACATCCTTTATTTAGATACGCTTTTGAGAACAATTTATCCCAGCGATAAGGATTATAAAACTGATCTCAAGGCTGAAAGATACATTTGTGATTGTTACCCGGAATGTGAGTATTGTATACATAGAGCGGACTTCGATGGTATGACTTTGGATAGGAACTATTCGATAAATAATATGGATTTATAGTAAGTCTGAGATATTATATATATTAATTTGTTTTGTATGGTTTAAAAAATTTGTTTATGTCTTATTTTAATCGAGCACTTTGATATAAATAATATATAAAGTTATGATATAACTTACCAATTTATATAATATATATGAACAATACTAAAGTCATCGATGAATATATGAAAGTTCTTGTTTGCCTCACTTGATTTACTTATTTCAAATTGTATAAATTTCGTTTTCATATAGACAGCGTAAAAATACTTTTGATTTAGTGGTTTTTCCTTTCTGTTATTTTTTCTTATACTCTTTGTCCTTCAAAATTCCGCTTTTTAGTGGTCCTGTTTTTGGGAAAATAAAGCGATGTTTGAACTCACCATTCTACAATATAACATTTTTAAAACAGAATTGTGTGTGTTGTTGTTTTGAGTCGCCCTAGTAAAAATATATGTAAACGTACTCATATGCCGTAATAAAATAAATGCTTTCGGAAGACTTTTTAAACAACTAATTCAACCGTGCCGTTAGGACCGATCAAGAGAGAATTAATTTGAACAAGTTGCTTAGAAGAGATGGAAATCTACAAGCAAATACAAGATAGCCCCATAACAAAATTTGCCGCAGCTGCAAACTCGAAGGGGGTAAGGAAACGGTTCTACACTTCCTGTGCGAGTGTCCAGTTCTATCACAACCCCCTTGTAGAATATTTGGGAATCCATCAGTTACCAAACCTTGAATGTCTATCTACAAAAAGCACAACGGAGATAAGAAGTTTCATTGAGAGCACCAAATCATCTGAATTACAACAATGAAACGAGGTAGCAATATTTAAAGATCTTATTACCCGAAGAGGCTGCACTCTTACCTACCTCACACAGTGTATATATTGTTCAATAAGTTAGATATCCTAGCAAAATCAACTGAACGCGTAATACTACTGTTTATCTATTGCTTATTTCTTCGACTGATGAATATTGAATTCTTACGCAACATTTTTATACCCTGAATAGGGGTTTGTAACACCCTATAATATGATCAGCGTGACGATTTGAGTCGATTTATCCATTCCCGTCAGTCCGTCCGTCAGACCAAGAAGCTGCTCATTTGTCAGAACTACCAATATCGGGCAACTATAGCATACAGCTGACATACAAAAAGTCGATCAACAAAGTCCTTGTATGGAAAACGTTTTTATTTGACAAGATATCTTCACGAAATTTGGCATGAATTATTGTCTAAGGCAACGCTACACTCTCGTTATATATAAATATAATATATTGCTTTGATCGGACTACTAATGCATATAGTTGTAAAGGGTATTCTAGCTTCGGTGCAATCTAAGTTTTTCTTGTTGATATACGTTTGTCAACACTTGAAAGTATTTCCCAGCTTTGTTCTTTGCGTATTACATGAGTATAAAATTTTCGACTACACCCGAACTCAGGCCTTCCATACTTGTATTTATTCATACACATATCAAAACATTTCTATTTAGAGTATCACTAATCGTGTGTAAGCAAAAAAAAAGTTTACTGTTATTTTAGTTGTAACTTTTTATATGCTTATAATTGTTATTTTTTTTATTAATTGCATGGCAATTCCTTTTTATTTTTTTCTTATTGCCGTCTTTACATGTATGTAGTCGCGGTATTGAGTTAAAAAATCATTTGGTGGTACACACCTTCTACGCCGATATGAGTGGGAACTACATGCGCCTGGATGTGCAGTACCACTGGCAAAACTATTTCGGTGCGTATTCTAAATTGTAGCACACATATACACATTTCAATAATTCACAGGGTTGTTCGGCGGCATAACTAGCTTATATATGGGTATTAGTTTCATCTCTTGCTTTGAAATAGTTTTCTTTCTTCTCGTGCGACCGATGGGCCATCTGCTAACGAGGATAACCAAACGACGGCAGGCTATGAAAAAGCAAGTGAAATTGAAAAAAATGCATACAGTCATGAGAAAATAATGCGATTGCAAGAGAGGGAAGTGGAAGTTAATTGTTGTCAAATTCTTGCTTTCTCACAAAAGAGGATAATGTAGCTCATATAGATAAATTTAAATGTGTTTACTTTTTTGGGTCATTAACTCTCACTAAATTACTCTAAATGACTGTCCACCGTGTTTAACGGTAATTGGTATGTGCACTTTATTGTCATATGAAATTTGTTTACTTAGAGTGTCTATAATTAAATCAATGCCACAAATTAATAGCCTTTAAGAAATACTGTAGAGTTATACCTGCTACAGCTAACATGCATTAACTCGACGATTCAGTTATTAACACGACACCGCACTTTGCAGTCATACACAAAACTACAGTTAATTTTTTTTCCACAAACCGCCAACAATGTCTTCTCTGTCTGCTTTTAAACGCTCACCATTTAAAGTGTCACATAATCGCGTTTTTGATATACTAAACAACCAACAACAAAATATGAAACCAAAAAACATACTTGTTTCACCAGCAAGCTCGATCAAAAATAGTTCTAAGCTGCAACCACGGAAAGCCTCACGCCTCCGCCAATTGGCCAGTTTTTCGCCAGTGCGTCACTGGTTAGTGGAAAATCTTCGCAATTATTGTAATAGCACATCGCTGCATGGCTTCAATTATATAACTTTGAAAGGTTCCACGACGAATGAGCGGCATTTCTGGATTGTCGTCGTTATCATATCGATTATAACTTCAATTGTTTTGGTGAGTGTTTCGTGGTTTTGGAATCGTGAAACACCCACAGTGACCGTGATTGAGAGCGCACATTTTCCAACATGGAACATACCGTTTCCGGCGGTGACCATTTGTAATTTCAATAAGATTTCCAAAATAAAGGCGCTGAAGTTGGCGAGAACACTGTAAGTGAAAATTAATTTATATTGAAAAATTATATAAACATTATTGAAACAAACAGTTTTTTTTAAATATATGCAAACTTTTTAAGGGATTATTTGATATATATATATATTTTATATCTCAATTATGCTAAAAGTCAAAACAATTCATAGATACAAAACATATACATGTATTATCAAAATTCAACAAAATAATAATAATTCAAGAAGTACTTGTATATACATAGAGTTACGCAAAATAACGGTGGAAAGATAAGATTTCGTACTAAAAAATTTCTCAGACAGTTTTATCATAGCAGTCGACGATTTCGCTAATATAATGAAAAAGCTTGAGTCCGACTTCATGTCAGCACTGTTTCGATTGTCCAAGAGCTAAAAATTACACAAAAACCGTTTGGAACTACCTAACAAGTAAGAAAGAGCTTAGTTCGGATGTAACCGAACATTTTATACACTCGCAAAGTCAAATGGTATACTCGTTTGAGATTTCTTAAAGATATCTTAATTTTTACTCAAGTTACAGCTTGCACGGACGGACAGACAGTCACCTGGATTTCAACTCGTCTCTTCATCCTAATCATTTATATATATACAAGTTTTAGGTGATACAAACAACTTTTAGGTGAACAAAACTATTATACTTGTACTCTGTAGCAACAAGTTGCGAGAGTATAAAAATAAGCTGGATACAAAATAAACTCAATGTATGAGTGCCACACGAGTTAACGCAAAAAACCTTGTGGACCTGTGTGGTCACTAACAAGGACGTCATGCGAAAATGGTCCTGGTCGGATCGCGGTGTTCCGGCGCAAGCGGTGGCCAAGCAAAGATTGACGGTCAAGAGGGTTTTGTTATGTATTTAGTAGGATTGTCATTATGCGAATTATCTACCATGAGCTGGTTCCCTACGGCTAAACTTGTTGACTACGGCTAACTCCGTGACAGTTTTTTTCATATTATAATTCACTGAAAATAGCGAGATATAATAGATGAAAGAGCAAAACAATTTTATTCAATTCATTATTTTTGTTTACTTTGGAAACTTGTTTGGGGGGTTGTTATACATCCACCTTATAGTCGAACCTATCACCAAGTGACTACTATCTTTTCCTGTCTATGACGAATGATTTTGCTGGTAAAAAATTCGCCTTGAGAGAACCTTGTAAAAATCGGCAGGAATTGCTGAAAAATAAAGTCCAATTTTGATAATTTCGTACTTCTCAAGCCAAAAATAAAAAGGTTTAATAGAATGGCAATCCACTCAAACTTCTGAACGACGAGTAACATTTTCAAGTTTGAAAACAAAAAGAAGTCACACGAGGTCAAGCCTGAGAAAAATGGTGGATGTATGGAGGAGCGGCAATTTGGTAACATAATCACGGCGAACGTACAAGCTTAAGCATGATGAAGACTACTTTTTTTAAGCGAAATGGGGCCGTTGTTTATATAATTCGGTGTCGTAGCAACCCAATATTTCGGCATGTGGAGCCCTCTGACCGTTTTGCCCAACTAGTGAATGCAAATCAAAGCTTGGTGTCCATGACCTTTCCGGGCGACATGACAGTCCTTGCCTACATCGTACAGGTTCGCTAGGTGAAGTCCACTGTTTCGTCTATTCCTTTATATCTGTTATATACTAGTGGATCCATGTTTTGTGAACAAATTGCTATGAAAACTGCTGTGAAGTGGGTGAATAAACGCGCCGACAGCTTTTTCATGCTTCATACAGGATGGCTCACGAATCGTGCTACAAAAGAGCACCGTAATAACATTTTTTTAAATCAATGCGTTTTTTTATTGTATGGCAAATTTTATTTTATATAATTAATAATTTTTAAAAATTATGGACCGTAAATAATCTCCATGCTCAAACGCATTTAATAGACCGCTTCAATTCAGTCAGATTTTTGTTATACCTCTTGCTTGACATTACCCCATAAAAAATAGTCTGGTGCAGTCTGATCAGGTGATATTGGGGGCCAGCGGAAAGTGGGGGTTATTGATATTAATTTGTCGTCAAATTTTCGTTGGAGCTCCGCAATAACCGGTCTGGCTATGTTTACTGTTGCGCCATCTTGCTGCAACCAAATACTATTGAAAGCGATATGTCCTGGGTAAAACAAACCTAATTCAACATCTTTAAATAACGGTGGCCATTGACAGTTACTGCTACACCGTTTTCTTCAAAGAAGTAGGACCCGCTAATACACCTTGATGAAACTGTGCACCACATAGTGACTCGTTCTGAATAAAGATTCGTCTCGTGGATTATTTCAGGATTTGATTTACTCCATATAAGGCAATTTTCCTTGTTTACATTTCCGTTTAGATCAAAATGGACCTCATCAGACATAAACAGGCAATTTTTCAAATTGTTGTTTTCTTAGGTCATTTCAATCACTTTTTGGCTGTTGTAATGACCGTCTACTAACTCCCAGTTTCGCCGATGAGTTGCGAGTCGAATCTTTTGGATTTGCCTGAATTAACGATGGAATAGCCGCGATTGTTTCTTGTACACGAACATACGGATCTCGATGGTGCGGTCTTTTTCTATACATTCGGATTCGGCAAACATGTTAACCAACCACCATCCTCCACCAAAATCCTGTCTGAATTCCCTTTGAACGAAAATGATGGACTGTTGCACTATCCAAACCCTCTTTTCGGTATCCAAAGCATTCATTTAAAAAAAAAATTAATTAATAACCTGCAAAATAAATAAATATAGTTTAAAAAAACTAAAGACACACGCTTTTAAAGAATATCGAACGAAAAAGTTGAAAATAATTTTAAAAATTAAATTAAAAAAATAGTATATAAAAAATACTAGTATAATTGAGGCGTGTGTCTTTAGTTTTTTTAAACTATATTTATTTTCAACTTTTTAGTTCGATATTCTTTAAAAGCGTTTTTTTTTTTAGTTTTTTTAAACTATATTTATTTATATTTTATTATTTTTTAATAAATAGTAGCTGTAGCTATCTACACTATGTACATTTTCGGACGAAGTATCACAGTATGTAATGTATGACCAATATATGGTATGACTCATCGTTATGAACTCGATTGTATTTCATATTTTCTCGACTCTTTTTACCAGAATTCTATCATCTTATAATTGTGTCTTGCTAAAAATATAAATGAAATTTTTCAATTAATCATTTTAGACACAGTTGTATGAACTTGTGCTTGATGATTTGTGAATCGATATTATATTATTGGCGACAAACTGATAATGACGGCTCTTATGAAATATTTCTTAGTCGTTCCATTTCGTCTAACGCTTCGTTGTTACTTGGGGTCTTACCTGTCAACTTGGAGCAGTCAAGTTCTTCAATCTGAATGCCGTCCAAAGATCTGCACCGGCTAAGTGCTACATATGCTTGTCCAGCAGCAAACAGCCGAGATCCTAAATAAATGATTGCATGATCAACTGTAGAGCCTTGCATCTTATAAACAGTCGATGCCCAACTTAGGATTATTGGTAGCATTCGTCTCTCAGCATTTCCATAGCTGTATTTTGCTTCCATATTTTGATCTGCCATTAAAAAATTTTATCCTAAATATTATAATTTTTGTTGTCCGTTCAGTTGATTTGTTCCCTTTGAGATGCCAAAATATGCCTTAAAGTATGCAAATATTTTGCGCATACATGGTAGTGGTGTTGGATTTAGTTTGATTACAAACAGACAGACACACATAGAAATGAAGCTAATAAAAGAGTGTTAAAAAGTATGCAAACATTTTGCGCATACTTTGTAATCGTGTTGAGTTTAGTTTTTTAGTTACAAACAGACATACAAGTGAAACTAATATAAGCGTGTTAAAAAAGGAAGTCGATTACTCACACAGAAAAAATTGTATTACGGTCTGTTTTTGTAGCACGATTCGTAAGTCACCCATACATTCATACTGAATATGACCTACAAAATCTTTTAAAACACCTACTATCTCAGCTATATCGCGCAGTTTCAAGCTGAACTATCCTAGTATGATTCCGCATGTGAGTACGTTGCCTAAACGCTGACTCTCGTTTTGTGTTTGACCAAAAAGTCAGTCACAATCTTTCTAGGATCATCATGTCATGCGACGACATTGACATGCTTCAGCGTCGAATCGACCAATAAAAGATGCTGAAAGCCTCTACCATATCTCTGACGCCACTTCTGCAACATTTTTAAACGATTCCGTAGCCGCGGTTCTTGCAAACTATTGTACAAATATAGAAAAATTATTTATCTATTCGATTTTACACTAAGTAAATGGACAAGTCCGGGTCAATTTTGACCTTGAGGTATATCTCTGTATTACTATAAGATATCTACATATTGCTTACACCAACTAAAAATATGTTCACAAAATTTTAGTAAACGACCATCAAATGTTTCTGAGCAGAAATTATTAAGTCTCTTTCGCATAACAATGTTCTTCAATTTCGCCTTAAATCACACCGAAGAAGATTTTGACATCTTTGGAAATATACTCAATGATAACAACTTTACTATAGCAAAATTAGCGCAAGAACTTACACCGAACTGCATGGATATGATTTCGAAATGTGTTTGGAAAGGTACTAGGTCGCGTTGTGATAGCCTTTTTCAGCCAGTCCAAGCACTCGAGGAAGTCTGCTGCTCCTTTAACTATCATGGACGTGCAACTACTAATTTTCCAAAGTAAGTGAACGTATATTATTTTACTTTACTCCATGGCATGGCCTTAAAATACAACTATTTCCTAACAGAAAAATAGCATATCAAGTGCCGAAGCAACCCTATCGCGTTACCGGCTGTGGTCATTCCACTGGTATCTCCGTCGTACTCAATCCCATAACCGATGACTACTTTGGCACTTATCTTAGCAGTTATGGATTTCGTCTATTTATACATGATGCTCATAATTTCCCCGATGAAAACGCCGAAACGAAAGTAGTCACTTCGGGTCGTGAAAGTTTCGTACGCATAAATCCCGAATCGACATATGCGACAAATGTGGTTAGAAATATGGATGTAGGGTTGCGCAACTGTTTATTTTACAATGAGCGAGCTTTGCCATCCATGCAACGATACTCGTTTGTCAATTGCATGGCTGAGTGTCGTACAAGATATCTGCATGAGCTTTGTGGGTGCATTCCAATGAGCTTGCCAAACAATGGCAGTTTCCGAATTTGTGGCCTAAGTGAGATTTATTGTATTCTAAATACACGAGGTAGGTGGATAGTATTAAAGCAAGTATGTATTTTTGTATTAATTAAACCAAATTTTTAGAGATCTTTGCATTGGCATTACCAACAAAAAATACAACGTTATCAGTTGTGCAAACTACGGGTAAATTTCCTTGTGACTGTTTACCCACCTGCGAATTTAACAATTATCCGTCCGAAATAACTACGGGGCAATTGGATATGAAATTAGTTTCTACGAATAACAATATAAAGTAAGAAATTGAGATATGAGACAGCATTTTTTAAAGCGTAAAAGTCATTTATCTTGATTTGGTCGGTCAGTTTACATGACAGCTTTATGCTATGATAGTGCAATCTGAACACTATTTTCGTCGATTTTATCATTGCCTCAAACAATATCCATACCAAATTTTATGAGATGGTATCTGTCAAATAAAAAAGTTTTCCATACAAGGACTTGAATCCGATCGTTCAGTTTATATGGCAGCTATATGCTTTCGTTATCCGATATCGGCAGTTCCGACAAATCAGCAGCTTCTATATAAACCGAAATGTGCAAAATTTCATATTAATATCTTAAAACTAAGGGACAAGTAGCTAACCATCTCTTTGAATGTCCTTTAAAAATGGATCAATTTAAATTACTTTTTGAAGGAAGTCGCGAAAGGGATTTCTGCTAAGTTGTATTTCGATACTATATTTTTTTCTGGCCGATAACATTACAAATGATATTTGGAAGTTTTTTCAACGAATGTTTCTACTTTCTTCAAGATCATACGATGCAAGGTACAAGAAATCACATCAGGATGGGAACGAGCAGGTGTTCCCCTGTCTTCGTGCATTTGGGCGTTGGATCTATTGTCTTCGCGTGAGCTCAACACCTCTCGAGTTGCGAAAGCCTTCTGGCCCAGAGTGGAACGTAAAAGGTCCATTGAACTACTAAGCAGCCATACAAACTGAACAATCGGAATGAAGTACTTGCATGGAAAACTTTTTCATTTGACAAGGTATCTTCACGAAATGAGATATGAATAATTGTCTAAGGCAACAATGTAGTCTACGACAAAATTGTTCAGATCAGATCACTATAGCATAAAGCTGCCATATTATATATCGAATGATCGGATTCAATTGCTTGTATAAAAAACTCTTTCGTTTACGAGGCGTCTTTACGAAATTTGGCAAGGATTGTTATTTAAGGCAATAATGCAATCTCCGAAGGAATTGTATAGATCGGATCACTATATCATATAGCTGCCATACAAATTGATCGATCGGAATCAAGTTCTTGTAAGGAGCCTTTGTATTTGTGAAGGGAATTATAGCTTCGGTGCAACCGAAGGTAACGATTTTTCTGGTATTAGAACGAACATGCGTATTAGCAGGCGATTTATTTCACGAAAACAAAAAAAGATATATTATGCACGCTTTAAATATTACATTTTACTTTAAATATTAAATTGGTTTTTATAATTTTTCTTGAAATATTTTTTTCAATATTTCTTCACAGCAAAACAGTTAATTCCGATGAAATTCTTCTACATGTTTTCTTCAGCGATTTAATGGCCAAGCGTTATCGCAAGGATATTTTTCAAGATTGGTTGTCATCATTAGGTAATTTTTTTATAATCTCAAAAAATATTCAAAATTTAGAAAAACGCATATAATTTACATGTATTAGTTATCGAATACATATATATTTCTATTTTTTATAAAATGTTGTATTTTATTTTTACTTTTTGCTTGCGTTATTAAATTATACTAATATTTTATTCGATTGCATATTTCTTCTTCCATTCTAGCATCTTTCGGCGGTCTTTTGGGTTTAATAATGGGCTTTAGCATAGTGACGGCTTTCGAATTTATTTACTTTCTTACATTTCGACCGATTTTTAATTACTTCAATGGTGTTTAATATTTTGCACCTCTATTTATTTAGTAAAGCTGAATGTAGTAAAAGCCAATAAAAAAAATAAATAAAAGTATTGTGTGGTTCAATGAAACGGTAAAAGTGAAACTTTATTCACATTATAGACATTTAACTAAAAATCGATTCATCAATCTTAATTTTATACTTGGAAAATGGGAATGATAATGGGAAATGATAAAAGTAGGCTAGGTCTCCAACTAATATTTCTATTGAACTCTACGTCTTAAAGTAAGTGTTAAGTATTATACATACATAATACTTAACAATTAATTAGATGATATACACATATAAAAAAGTTTCACTTTAAAAACTGAAAACAATATTTTACAATCGTTGAGTCATTGTGATCCGTTTTTCAATCATTCTATTATTAATTCCATCTTCATCATAATTTTCACCGTTTATAAATGTAACCAATCGTTTATGGTCACTAAAACTAAAAAACAAAATTAAGAATTTTCACTGTTAAATGAGAAAAATAATGCTAATTCCAATGTTAAGAAATGTACGCTTACAGATTCGTTTATGTAACGGGTGTTTTTTTAGAGGTATAGAACTTTAAATTGCAAATAAAACAACGATGGATTATTCGATTGACATGAATTTTATTTATCCGAAAGATAATATTGTGGCATTACATTTAAATTATGATTTCTGGCATATAACTGCCACGGCTGGCTCGAATGTAGTCCAATCTGGACGTTCAATTTTCGATGACTTTTTCCAACATTTGTAGCCGTATATCGGCAATAACACGGCGAATGTTGTCTTCCAAATGGTTAAGCGTTTATGACTTTACATAACCCCACAGAAAGTAGTTTAACGGTGTTAAATCACAAGATCTTGAAAGCCAATTCATAGGTCCAAAACATGAAATTAAGCGGCCACCAAACGTGTCTTTCAATAAATCGATTGTGGCACAAGCTGTGTGACATGTTGCGCCGTCTTGTTGGAACCGCAGCTCCTGGACATCATGGTTGTTCAATTCAGGAATGAAAAAGTTAGTAATCGTGGCTCTATACCGATCACCATTGAATGTAACGTTCTGACCATCATCGTTTTTGAAGAAGTACGGAACAATGATTCCACCAGCCCATAAAGCGAACCAAACAGTCAGTTTTTCTGGATGTAACGGTGTTTCGACATACACTTGACTTCACTCGAAATGCGGCAGTTTTGTTTGTTGACGTAGCCATTCAACCAGAACCAATCGACGATAATATGAACGTAGTGCGCGATCCTTATTCCGCACAGAACCATTATTTTCGAAATAAAGCTTCTCGATTGCATCAACGGTTGAACGCTTTCTGCGGGAGCCATATTGTTGTCGGATAGGCTACAAGTTTCCCTTTCCAGGTGATCTTCTAAACGGGGACAGATTAGTCGCTCCAGGATTGTTTTGTCCATTGAATCAATTATGCAGAGTGGTCAATAAGGGCCCGGTTTGTTCGTCTTCTGCAGTAGTACGAGCCGCTAAATTTTTCCAATTTTGAAATTACGATCTTATATGCTTCACCCCAGGGCTTCTCGTCTACTTTGTCACATAGAGCTTTGAAGCAGGGGACCCGCCAGTCTGTTGATCGAAATAATGATCTGCTGGCAAAAGATGTATACATAAATAATATAGCCATGTCCATTCTTCACAAAAGTATTTTGTATCCCTGTGTTCAACAGTACAACGTCTAGCAGAGCGAAGGCTTTGAGCAATGTACTACCTCTCTGGTTAGTGGCCTTGCTTCCCCATTCCAGAGCCCTGACATTAAAATCCCCTGCAATTATGTAAGGTGTGGTTGTATATTCGGGACATCTTCAGCTGACTATTTGGTGGTCGGTGTTCGCTCTCCCACTGTTTTTACACGCAGTGCAAAAGGGTTTATTAGCACAGGGTTTTGCAAGGTGAATCGCTTCTCCCCATATAATACAGCACTGACTCCTGTCCGTATTGTTGCATGCTTTCGCCATGTGTCCATATTCCAAGCATCTAAAACATTTCCTCAGTTGTGTCTTTTCTCTTATTCTGCATACTGTCCAGCCGATCTTTATCTTTTGCGCCTGCAGTAGATATTTTGCTTCTTGCACCGGAAGAATTATCACTGCTATTTGGGTGCCTGTACAAGACGCTCTAATGCTAAATCTAAAAATCTATTGATTTTTCGTTGAAAAGGCTAAACTCTTTAATTTCAGAACGAATCGCTTCTGCAATATCCTCTTTCGTAGTAATATCGTCCATTTCACGTACTTCCACTGTTGTCTCCTGTTGCAGTGTTCTAATTTGCGCCTAATCACCTAGGACAATATATTTCCTATGTCTTCCTTGTATCCTTCAGTGTTTCCTGTTTCTGTCTTCTTCAGTTCTAGCAAAATCTCTCCTTTGGCTGTCTTTTTTACTCAGGAGACGTTTTTGCCAAGCTCTTGCAAAGTTCCATTATTTTTTATCGAAGTATGTCAGCGTACGTCATATCACCATTTTTTGCAATTCTTCTGTTGACGACTCCGTTCTTGAGCCTTTATTATCGCTGTCCCTCGCAACTCTTTTTAACCACCGTTCTTTTTAATGGCGTCTTTCTGTTTTTTTGGTTGGTATCTCGTGGCCTTTTAAGCGTTACTTCAACAACCGTTTGCTGGCTTGTTACGCTTCGATTTGATTCTCTTTGTCTAATATGGTCCTCTTGAGCACATGCTTGGAGCTTTGAGATTGTGCTCAGCAATTCTCTCATGAAACTAAAACCTACAAGAAACTGTTGATGGGTTTACCAATACACTCACATTTATTCTGTCAGTACTGACTGTCAAATTTTTCGGCAATTGACCGTCACTGTTGTTAAAACAAGACTTACGATTTATATTGCTTACTATAGCTCTACATATGTCACCACTGAGTAAATTGACTGTCAATGTTTCCGATTTTTCCATAAGTAGTTTCTGTATACGTCGAAAAGAGACAGCATATATTTCTATAGAAGTTTCGAGAAGTTGTGAAATACCTATGTAGCTGTTATTCCGTGCGATAAACAGAAAGTGTTCCGTGCTTCTGTGCAATAACAATTTTTGTTTTATTAAAAACAAATAAATAACGAAGGAGTTTTCAAATATATGTAAGTTATTATGTTTCAAATAAAATTAGATTTTTAGTTACTTTTCATTTTTATTTAGGCATTTTTAAATTCCGAAATATTCATGACTGGAGAAGCACGTGCAGCAGAGCTTTTGAGAGGAGCGGAGTGAAAATTTCTTTTCGCAATTTACAATATTTTTTAATTATATTTTTGTTGCACTCCTTTTTTATATTAATGTATATTATTATAACTAATTTAAATTAAATGTTTTGAATTTATACTAGAAATAAAAATTATATTATCTATTGCGCAAAAGAATTTTTCACTTGTGATAGATTTACAGTCATAACAAACAATTTTCAGCTTTAATGGATTTATGGTTAACATTGACTCAGAAAATGACCTAAAGGTGAGCAGTATAGATATATAGTGAATCAATTCCGAATACCCATGTGTTAAAGAGAGATGCAAACACACATACATACGTTTGTTTACATCAGTTTTTGCACAAGGCTCTTAAGAAAATGATAGAAACTTTGATTTGCGCGCTGACCAAATTTTTTCAGCAGTGACTGTCATATTACCGGTCAGGTGACTGTTACTGTTCTTGTAAGGATGTTATTACTGATAAGTAGCGACGTGCCACACACAGACGAAAAAGTTTGAGACGATGTAATAAAAGTTTAAATTTAAAAAAGTTATTTGCTATTATTATTATACTATATGCATATATATAAATAAATGATCCGCGTGACGAGTTAATCTCCTAATATCTCCGTATGTCCATTCATTTGTCTGTCTGTCTGTATATACGCAAACTAATAACTCAGTTTTTGAGATACCGATTTGGAATTTTGCTCTCATATATTTCTCCCCAAAAAATGCTCATTTGTTGGAACCGGCGATATCGGACACCATCGATCAAAATCAAGTCCTTGGACAGAAAACTTTTTTAATTGATAAGATATCTTCACGAAATTCTACATGTATTATTGACCAACGCTACAACCTTCAATCAAGATAAAGATCTTCATAAAAAGATTATTAATGCCAGTGACAGACATGAGGTAACAATACCATAATACAAATACTATGGTATTTTGTTTACAACGGTTGATGACACATATAGCAATGTTGTAAACTCAAATATTAGCTTTGTTTCATAGGCAGAAGATAATTCAAGGTACGTGCACATGCTCTTAAACGCATGGCTATTGTATATTCATATTCATAAACTCCGAGTAGTTTTTCCATTAATCTCAAACTTTAATTAAGGACTTTCATTCGGCAGTGCTAAGTTAAATGCGCTTTTTTCATACTTCCCATTTTTATTTATTAAATTTTTATTGTCATTTTAACAGAATATTGTGAAGAGCTTTTGTGCAAAAGCTTTTATTTAGGTGCGTTACCTTTTTTTAGCTGTGTTTCTTAAATAACCATTTCGAAATATGATAGTATTGTTACCAGCAATATACTACATTTCTCACATGGTAAAGTGCTACATAGTATTTGGTGACACATATGTGTGTACATATGTATCTGGTATTCATGGTACATATGTATCAGCATTGTTAACGTATGTCTGTCACAAACATAAGTAATCTTAATTCGACTTGACCGTTTTCCAATACGTTTTCAAATTTAGTTATACATATAGCTACCATAAGAAAGCACCTGTGAAGGGTATTATAGATTCGGTGCAGCTAAAACAGACATTCTTCGGTTCTTTCATAACTTTGTTGTTTTATGTTAAATAAATTTTTTTTGTTTATTGATATTAGACAGAAGATTGGATTAATACTGTATTAATACATGTTTCTAAAAAGTTTATGAACTTTCAGAAGCAGGAAACTTCTATCCACTGTTAACATAAAACACACGTTGTTACTAAGGAAATACATACACATTTATGTATATGTAAGTCTTTTAGAAAATGCAGGCTTTTAAAAAACACAAAATATATGTATGTATGATATTTTCCTTAAATCAACCATAAATAATTTACGTATATATTAAAAAGTACTTACTTTATTATTACGATTAAATTATCTGACTAAAAGGTAGCAATTTGTCAATCATTTTGTTGCACACGCAATTATAATACTATACAATCAGTAATAACACACAATTATGGGTATGAATTGGTACTTAACGCTACAATTTTGTTCAAAACACACTAAGCGATTTATCTTAATTCATCTATAACTACACATGACCGAGTTAAAAAGTCACAGTTTAATTTCCAAAATTCTGTTCGGTGTCATCCAACATTGATCACTATAATGATTAAAACTTTTGTTTCTTTAAGAAAATTATATGGTAAACTTGTGCGTGAATTTTTGCAGGAAAGTGGCATACATGGCTTGAAAATATTTCTATCCACCTCTCCGATCCCCTTCGCGAAGTGAGTTGTTAAAAAAATTAAATAATTTAGGAAATTATTTTTATATTTTTAATTTGTATATGTACATACATACATATACTTTAGAGTGAGTCACAAAAAAACTAATATCGAATTTATGGGTTAAAAATAGCCTATATACGAAGAAAAAATAACCGTGAAAGGCATCATTTTTTTTTTTAAATTCATCATTAAAAACTCGTATTCTCAAATGCTTTTAAAGGTAAAATCCATGAGGTAGATGTTTTAGGAAATTGTGTGCTTTGTAAGGCCAATATTTATGAGGGAAACTTTGAATACTCACCGACAACTTTTATAATTAAATTCGATATTAGATTTTTGACTCACAATTCATAAGCTTATATATTCCGTACATGTTTTCTAAATAAAACCAATAATATTTATTTATTTCTTTAACCATTGCTTTCAGGCACCTTTGGTTTATCTTCCTATCCAGCATTATTATTGTCACTCATGTGATAATTATCAATTTAATTATGAAATATATGGATCAACCAACTGAGGTTCGTATGTCCACAAAACTGGTGCATGTTGCCAATAGTCCATTCCCGGCTGTCGCTATTTGCAGTGCAAATAAGATAAGCCGACACAAAATGATGCGCTTTGCGGAGCAGGTGTGAGTACAACATACACAACACAAATACATATATCATATAGGTTTGTTGAAAAGTTTCTGCGCTCAAAATGAAAAAATATTGTTATTGTTACGAAATATATATTTTTATTCAATATAATCTCCCTTAACTTCAATACACTTATTCCAATGATCCCCCAATAATTTTATACCATCCCTATAATGACTTTCCGGAAGCTCTGCAAAATACCCCTCTACGACTGTAATTGCTTCTTCAATTGACGAAAAACGCTTTCCACGAAGGAATTGTTTCAGGTTTCTGAAGAGGTAGTATAGTCTATTATTTCTGGTGTGGTTGCGGTTCTTGGTCGTCCTTCGCGTGGATCGTCTTCAAGCCTAGTACGACCACATTTTTATTCATCAGCTCAAAATTCAACGGCGCGTTTTGAAGATGAGGACTCCTTATACACTACTAACAATTGTTCATAAATTTCCTTTGCTTTTAAACCTTTCGAAACAAAGGATCTTATCACTGCGCGATATTCAATATAATCTGACACGTCAACTTCAAATGGTTTGTAAACAAAGAATTAAGTAACAGAATGACTTGTAACTTTGCATGTGTTTTCACGACAGATGTACCAACTTAAAAAAAAATTGGAGCTAGTAGTGCTATTTCTTATTGAGACTAACCAACCTGTATGTACATATAACTTATTATTAATATTTTATATTTATAATTTGGTTATTAAATAGCTTTTAAACAAATGTTAACATAGCATACTTTTTAAATTACATCGATTTTAAATAGGTCATATTTATTCTAATCTATATATAGGTACGATTTTGGTACGATTTTTATACAAATCATCAAGCAAAATGTTTTGAGTCGTTCCATAAGAGATATTAAGATCCTCTGCTATCGATCTGATTATAACATGATGATTTTCAAGCAGTGTTTCTCTAATTTTTTCGATGTTATCGTCATTAACAGAGTGGATGAATGACTCGAATGATCAAGTTTTCGATGAATTCACTCCTTCATTGAATACTTTGTGCCACTCAAATACTCATGTTCGTGATAAAGTATACTCCCTATAAACCCTCCTGCAACATTTTCAACGACTCCATAACTGTGATTTCATTGGAAACACAAAATTTCAAGCAAACTCGTTGTTAATTTTTCTTCTTGTTAAAAATCGGGTCGTAAGCACAAAACTGCCACACACACACTAAATGACATAGGGAGATCAAACTTCACTTTTTATCGATTCGGTTTGTGCACAATGTAAAATTTTGTAAATTTTGTAAATTTTGTAAAAGTATATAAAGCAAAACTATTTAAAAACGACTTATACTATTCAAGATATCCTCATAATATGTTCAAGGAGTGTAGCGAAAAAACGGCTTGCCCTTCGTTGAAAAGAAAAAACAATAATAAATACACAGAATGGTTTGACGGAGGTCATATTTTTCCATATTCATCACATTATTTAATATATTGGTATCAAAAATTTAACCGATAGATGGCGCGAAGAACAAAAACAAATATTAATCGTCAAAAATCGCTTTATTGCTTTTCAAAATATTCTCCATTAAAATCTACACACCTTTGCATGCGTTTGAACCAATTACTGAAGTTTTGCCACTCTGATCGAGGTAACTCCAAAACATGCGTTCTGAACGTATCAACCGCCTCTTAAAAACGATGTCGAAAAACGTTGACTTTTGAGTTTATTTTTTACGTACGGGAATAAAAAGAAATCATTCGGTGCCAAGTCAGGACTATACGGTGGATGACTCATCAAATCGATGATTGGAGTGCCCAAAAATGCAATTGTTTCAGTCGATGTGTGAGAGCTTACATTATCGTGGTTAAGAGTGATCGGTCTTCGTCGGCTGGTTTTCCAGGTTTCTTGATAGACAATTGGCAAACAAATGGTTGTATATTACTCATAATTTACTATTCTACGTTTTTTAAGTGGTATGGCTATGACATGTCCAGTTCTTCCCAAAAAAAAGGCAACCTTTTCTTCTATCTTTGTTGTCTCTTCCTCTAATTCCATGTGAAAGACATATTCCTCAACATTAATGTTTTCCGCCTCCATGGTCTCTCTCAACCGGGATTGTAATTCAGTTATTAATCCATTTGTCGCCAATCCACGTTGCTCCAGCTCCTTTTTCAGTTGTGGAATCTTCAGATCGTTATACTTGGTCATTTTCAAATAATTATCTCCTTGGGAATTTATTTGAAAATCCCACTTCTGACACCAATTGTAACGTATGTAATTGTATCGTCTACCTGTAACTCACTCTTGAGTTCAATCACTGGATTGTTAAATTAAGGTCCCAATTTAATGGCTATAGACTTATTTTTCTTTTATTTACAACAACTTAACACTTAAAGCTTAATTGCTTTTTACACAGCAACACTCTAATTAGCACTGTCCTCTGCTGCACAATCCGGCAGCCCTTATATAGTAAATTTTTAACAAAAGTTTGCTACTAGAACATTCTGGCAACTACGAATTCGCTGTCTAGTTGCTTCTGCCAGTTTATCGTCGATTCTGATTTCTTCTGGTATTCGTTTTCGCCACAGTATTTTCTTTTTCCATATTCAACTGACCAATCAACACGAGCCTTGTTCTGAGCGATTGACAAATTGTGTAGAATCAAACGCGAACAATTTTTTTACAGTCAAATGTTCATGCGATATTGTATGTTTTGCATATACAGTGGTTCAACTAATGCCTATAGTTATCTCAATCTCACGATAGGTCACATGACGATCTTGCAATATCAGTTTGCGCACAGCATCAATAGTTGCCGGAACAATAACTGATTTTGGACGATCTTCACGACGTCTTGGAGTGATCTGCGACCCCGATTATATATTATATTATTATTATTATATCGATAAACACTGGTCTTTGATGGAGCTTCATCGCCAAAAATTTAATTAAATTCATCGATGCACTGTTGCTGCGTTAATCTACGCCGAAAGTTGTAAAAAGTAATCGCGTTTTCGCGATTTAATTTAATTTTTTCCGAGATGAATATTTTAAATTACTATAGACAACGCATATAGTGCTCGTATGTCAAAACGTTCTGAGTATGTATAACATCAAAAATGTCAAACTTTTCGACAAAGTTGTGAGTTGCCACATTGCAGCACTAGGGATGCCAAATCCCGAAATATAAAAGGCTACTGACGTAATTTGATAGAGAAATTAAATTATTATAGTTTTCATTATCTTTATTGAATAACATATATTTTGCATTATAAGATCTGTGCAGAAACCATTGAAATGGCGAGAAATTTGCCTGCAATAAAAAAAGGTCCACTGCAGCATCTTTCAAGCGGAGGTGACTGCCATAAAGGTAGCAGTAGATCTACTGCTCCGGAGCGGGACTATCCCCTCCGATAGTAGGGCAGCGATATTAGTCTTGTGTTCGCTGACTTTGCGCTCAAGACTAGTGTAAGGATGACTAGACTCCTTATCTCTAGCGTCAAGTTATTTTATGATTAGACTGTTTTGAGTGCCTGGCCACTGCGGTGTTGTAGAAAACTGTAAGGCTGATGGGCTTGCTAGGACAGGTACTTCAGTCTCAAAGGTTAGCGGCTTATGTTAGTCACTGTATGATTAGGTTTCAAGCGGTAATATTGATCGTCTTACCGGATGCTAGCTGCATCAGGTGTTTGGAAGAAGATGAAATGTAAAAGCATCTCAACATTTCCTCCTCGAATACCCTGCTTTTGCCAGATCAATGAAACAACATTTTGGATCGCATATACATATACTTTTAGAAATCCAGATGATATGGCAAAAATAGAAATAAGGCGCCAGATTTGTGATAGATTCAGAGCGTTTTTGCCGACAGCTGATATCCAACTGCAGGAGCTTTTTCCGTCTGACTCGACAAAGGACTGTACATAACCGTCAAAGCGTTATCTCGCCGCCATGCTGAGGGATCATCCATATAACCTAAGATAGGACCAGGTAGAAGTATTTTTTGCATATAATTTAAAATTTGAATGTCCAAATTGTATGTGTACATATGTGTACATAACATTTCAAAAAAGGAAACTTGAAACTCTTTTACATTACAGTTCATGCGAAAAAAATGTATGGAGAACCAGTCTAACTTATTTAATTTTACTCCATGCTCTGAATATACAAACTTATATATTACATTTATAAAAAGAGAAAAATTCACTTAAACTCGGGGTCAGTTTGGGCACAACCTTAGATAAACACCTAATAAAAACGTTAGAATCAAATTATAATTTTTATTTATGATATTTTTTTATAATCTATATCTTATCGTAATCTTACAAGAATTATACCTACATCCACTCACTAAAAACTTAACAGGCAAGTTGATTATTATTAAACATTATCATTTATTTGCGCTATTTGGTTTACACTCTACAAAAACTGCACTTCTTCACCATTAATTAGTTCGAAGTAACCCAATGACTTGACTTCCGCCACCATTGCCAGCAAACCGTCGATGAGCTCCTCAGCAGTTGGTTTTATTTGCTCGGCAGGCAATTCCATGCCATTGCCATTGAAGCTACTATTCGGACGCAATTCAAAGCAGAAGGCCATGCGTATGCCCAACTTTGTGTAAGCAAAATCCACACTTGAACCCGCTGCCGGGTAGATCGCATTATATATATTACCGCCAGTATAGACAGTTTCATAACGTTTACTTATCGCCTTTATAGTCGCGTTATAAACTTGTTGGTAGTTTTTGACGTTATCGGGCAGTTCGGCAGTATGTCCATTCGGATAAAGTAAATACTGCGAGAATGAGTGGAAAGATATATACAATTGGATTTTGTCCTTCAACGAAGTAATATAGTCGGACAATGATTTGACTTCGATTTCCGAATTCGCCGCACGTCCGGCATATGTTTCACTGCAGGGATTACTGCTAGCACCCACAGTATTCCAATAAACATCCCAATTCCGATTGGCATCTGCACCGACGCAAGTGCCATATGGTTGACGCGTTTTACGCCACATCCGATCGGT